TCCTCCAGCTGTTGCGATTGGCTACTCTAACTTGCAGAATTAAACCGCACTGTTTTAGCATTACTTTCAGGTGGTTTTGAAACGTTTTTTTCTTTCCCTGTACTTCAACATATCGCTGGCCTTCCAAGAGTTTCCCATATAGGATCATCTTTGGGATACGGTCTTCGGGCATCATGATAAAATAACTAATCCACCTAAACTGTCATTGGATAATAAGCGCCCCAATTTGAATGCCATTTAGAGCTAACATACGAGCTCTTGAAACTTTGCAGCGCATCTTCGGGTTGTCATGGCGAGATCAAATACCGCATGTCAATATTCTCCAGTGTACCAGTAGCAGAACGATTGCGGTTTTTATCCGAATTTTTATAGGAACAAAAAGAAAGCTTTTTTTATCTGACCGTGCGAAAAGAATGAAGAAGAATAAAATACTTCGATTTCTCTGCAGTAAATATGATCTCATTTAAAGTCCGGTGAATTAAATTGGAATTAATGACTTTAGCATCACAATCATCAGTTTCGGAAATTTTCTTTTCTTTCAGAAAATAAAACCTGCTGCAACAGTATTTTCACTATTGCCCGAATTAATAACGAAAAAGAAAGAAAGAAAAGATGCAAATCAGATTCAATTACAAAGAAAAAATATTTATTTATAACCATCTAAATAAGGGTTCTTGCAAAAATTCGTCCGTTTTGCTGAGATAACCTATTCTCTGAGTAACACAATGTAAAAAAAAAAAAAAAACGTAGCAGAAAACAAACTTAAAAATTACAATGTACAAAAAAGCAAAAAGAATTACGTCCACCTGCTGTGTCAATAAAAACAATAAAAAAAGTGGGGAGAGCCTTAGCTCTACAGTACACTTTCAGTCCTTTCAAGGTTCAAAAGATTTTATCTTTTTTTCTTTTCTCTCTCGTGTAGACAAGGTTCTGTTCTAGGTGACCAAACTCCCTCCTTTCTTCACTTATTTTCCTGCCGTCCGCGCTGGAAAATATGCCTTTCTTCTACGGCCGCTAGAAGGTGAAAATTTACTTAAACACGTGGTAAAACGCTTTTTGAAAACACACGTGTTTGCTCCTTCTTCTCAAACGGCTTTAGCTCCAAATTCCACTTATGGACTTCTTTTCAAACTTTCTTTTCTGAGGCTTCTTCGAGAGGACTTCTTAAAACTTTCTCTGAAAGGGAAATTTGCCCTCAGCAATTTTGTTACCCATGCATCCTTTACTTATGGGCAAACGCTGCCTGCTTTTTCAGCAAGGAGAGAGAAACAGCCTCCTGTCTCTAAGCGGCCTCGTTTCCCACTGCTGAAAAGGTCCAGTTCCAGTTTTCCCTTCCCTTTCAAAGGGGGCGGTTCCCCTTTGAACCGTCCCATCACAGTCCATTAAAAAAATAAAATAAATATCAGCAGGTTCTTAGGGCCAGTAACACAATGAGTGTCTTTTGTTCTCCCTTCGCCTTAAAAATTTTCAAATCAGTGCTGTTTTAACTTGATGTCAGACTGCAAATTAATGTGATTTCTCATTTTCAGCAACGTTGCAAATATCGCTTATCTCTAGGCACAGCGGACGTTCTATTAGAAAAAAAAAACGCATTTTAAATGATGTAAACGCCTTCTTTGAACTTAAATTTCGGTTCTCTTTGAAAGATAATTACCTTATTCATCCAAAAATAAACGAAAAAATAATTTTCCTGTATAAATAAACATTTTAGGCAGTTTAAAAAGCTTGGTTGGTTTTTTCTTCACTTGTGAAGGGTCAGATGTTTTTAGCAATAATTATCGGAAACTTCGGAAATAAACAAGCAGAATCAAAGATATAAACAAATAATATATGTTTATTTATTTGATTTCGATTAGAGTGCGTCCTTTATAATTCGTATTGGCGAAAGTCATAGTTGTAAACTATCAACTACCAAACGGTAGTTGATAGTTTACAAGTCGGACTTTGGTACCAGGTGAGAGTGTTTTTACTTTGGAAATTTGTTGTGGACGTCAATCTGCTGTTTGCTCGGCCCTCAGAAGGTCGGGAAATATCTTAAGCAGACGATTGCATAACTTTTTCACGTGATACGCTGGGCTAGTTTCTCTGGTGATCTGTTCTCTCTTTCTACCTCTCGACTGTCTGTTTATATTCTTTTTAACTACTGGCGCGGAGCTTGGTTTCGGCTAACATCAAAAGTATTCTTTTTTTTTTTTTTTTCAATTTTTTTTATTGACCTTTTCTTCCCCGTGTTACATTCTTTTTCATGTTTTTTATAATGGAAGTTATGCGTGGAGCCTCTGTCGCGGCCGCCATTAGCCGCTCCTTAGAAAGACGACCTTGACCTTCACAACCCCTGATCTCGCAGATTTAAGTCAAGCAACATGCGAGAAACCGGATGACTAGTCCAATATCGTTGATGCCAAACCGTACCTCGTGAGCATCGGATTATGCAGCGCCCTTTCAAACATCGGACAACCATTGATATTAATTTAATATTTACGGTTTTCTACTCCCTCTAGCCAGGGAGTACTTGAATAAATCGCCCCAAATATTGTTAGCCACTTTTTTCGTCCAAAATTCAAGTTGAGGGCCGGGGGGGGCGTGGATCAAAGTGTAGTACGCTGCCTTTGTGAGCTTCTGGTGCTTTGTCGAGAGTGTTACTCTTCGGCGCGATCCCGTCTCCGCGGTCGATCCGCCCTGGAAGACGTATCACCTCTCTGACCAGCTTCGGCAAGTGTTACACTTTGGCGCGATCCGCCCTGTGAAGTCTGTCACTGTTCTGCCTTGGCCCTGTTTAGGGACTCCGTCTTCGCCAAGTGGTACACTTTGGCGCGATCCTGTTTCCGCGGTCGATCCGCCCAGTAAAGTCGTATCACTGTTCTGACTTGGCCCTGTTTAGGGACATCGATCAACCTGCTGCTGTTCCATTCTATTCTCCCATCCGGTAGTCGACCAGCTACGTTCGCTGATCAACTCTATACGACCGAAAGCAGCTACCCCTAAACAAAAACCAGTCATACCGGACCCGACAACGATTTATTAAACGCATTTCTTCAGAGTACACTCTTCTTGTACAATTGGCATTAATAAAATCGACGTTATTGTTTCATAAACCTTTGCCTTTGTCCCCTCATTGTCTTGGCTGTTCACACGTTTCTTCATAAAGCTTGCGGGGGCGACATCCTCTCTTATTTTGGTAGATTTCTCATAACAATGACTAGACCCTGGTCCAGGAAAACTTCCGCCGTTTTGCAGCTGTGTTCAGTCTTTTCTTCTTCTTCCTCTTTTTACTTAAAGGTTGCCTTCTCATTAGTTGGACGAAAAGTATACAAAGTGACCGTGGAGAGCGAAGAGAGAGAGAGAGAGAGAGAGACGTTTAATGTATTTGCTTTACTTTTTAAATAATTTAAAAAGTAAAGCAAATACATTATTTTTATTTTTATTCATTCTTTTTTTTTTTGCTTATACGTTTTATTTTCAAATTTTATTTATTTTTGACTCATTGAACCGCCATTATATACGAAAATGTAAACAAAAAAATTTAAAAATTTCTTTAAAATCCAATATTTGTACTAGAGATCTGTTTCGAAGCCGAGGAGTAATTAATTAACTTGGTTTTTAAAAGTCATGTTTACCTTTTACTTTAAAACAGAATGAAAATAACGTTTTATTTACGGACGGTAATCTATGATGTCAAAGGATAAATCAAAATTTGTGATTCTAACCCTGTCCTTTTAATCGCGTGAAAAAGTAAAAAAAAAAAATAAAAATCTAAGGAAATACCGAAAGAGCAACGGTGCAATGATCAAGAATTTGTTATGATGTTTAAAAATAAATTTTCTTTAACATTATTTAAACAATAATTTAAGAATATATTTTTTGTTCTATGTGCTTTTTTTAAACTTAGTATAATGAATAATCTTGAAGGAATTAAGGTGCTACCAGAACGAAAAATTTTTCGTGAATAATGTAATTTGCGTTAATGTGAAAAAAATATTTAGAGGACTAATTTTGTTTAACACCGTTTTTCGTGCATTTTCACCGGGAAAGTTTTCGTTCCACTGTGTTTAATTCCCAACTTTGGGTTAAGGTTCATTCTTTTCGTATAGTTTTTTTTTAGATTTGTTTTTCAACTTTGTTTTTTTTTTTTTTACAGAACTGTTGGTGCAGTCATGATATAAACAAAAATACTTAACCTGCCTTACAACACAAAATTTTATTACTAAAAAACAATTGTACGCAGCTGATTTTCTTTGGTTTTACTGAGTTTTGAAAAACAAAACTTTAGGTCACAGGTGACATGTCGAAGTTAGATAAGAATTGCCAGAGTATTGTTATGTTCCTACCCAAATCGTTTACATAAAAAAATCGATTATATTTCTCAAACAAAATATATAAATTTAAATTTTCAAATGTATGTATTAAAAGATTTTTTAACAGTAAATTGGATGATAGTGGAAATTGAATGTTTAATTTAAATTTTTAAATAATTGTTCGAATATCGTAAAACATCTGAATATAAAATGACGTCAATGAAATAAATGCACATTGGAAGAGGAAGAGACGGCTTGATGTGCAGTGAGTCAACAGCTCCCTGAGTTTGCTGCTATGTCAGACCACTGACGGTGTTCAGTGCAACAAATGCTGAGATTTTTTATTTTCAAAGTCCTTATATCTTTTTAGGGCGCCCCATTATAATGTTATCCAGTGAAAAGTTCACCATACAATACAATCAGCATTGGTCATTCATCCTGGAAGACATGTCCTGTCCAGTGTATCTGCATTTTTAATAGCATGGCTTCAATGCTAATGACCAGAACTTCAACAATGGTGGTAATGTCCCTCCGATGGATGTTAAGGATTTTGTAGAGACGGTGCTGGTGGAATTGCTCAAGAAGTAGCAGATGATGACGATAAGTGACCTATGACTCAGAGTCATACAGGTGGCTGTAATTACAGACTCACTTGTATAACCCTCAAAAAACTTTGATTGTCTATTGATCTTGGCATCTGATGATATGATGCATACCAGATATCCAAAATCATCATGGTGATGTGTGGAGAATATGCTTTTAATTACTTTTATGTTTTTTAATTATTTCAAAATGAAATCATATTTCAATTTGACTCAACTCATTAGGCTATAGTTATAATAATATCTAATTGTAAAAGTTTTATTTTGCAATTTGTAAATGGCAAAATCAGTTAGCAAACATTAGATATTTTGTATACCAAAATCATTAAAAGATTTAACAGAATCTTTATTAAAGCCATCAAAATATTATGGTTGATGTACATATGTAAATTGTAGGTGAGTTAAGTACTTATAAAAACAAATTGTATAGTATTAGATTTAAAGCATTTAAAATTTCAGAGGAAAATATTTTAAAAGTGTATTTTAAAAGCTTTTCTGGTTTGCTCTGGTGTATAATTTAAGTTTTAAAAGATAATTGAGACTTTGTCATTTAAACATTAAATTTAAATTTTCATTTATACTTCAACTAAATTTTTTTTAAATGTTAAGGAATTAATGTTTTGACAAATCTTCTATAAATATTGCAAGTTAAAGCAAAGAAATATTTTGCATGAAGGATAAAAAGAAATTCAATTGATTTTTCAGCTCCAGCTTCATGAATCAGATTTCCTTTGGACTCAAATACTGGAAAAAAAATTATGACTCTTTGGTTTCAAGTGGTTGGAAATGCCTTTCAGAAATATGGTGTGAAGAAATTGAATCTCTATTATTTACCAACCCTGCAAGTCTTACATGTCTTCCATGCTCCGGTTTACATTTACAAGAAACTACTGACCATTGCCTGCATTGTGAAGAACTTCTCCAACTTAGTTTTTTTAGCATTCTCCTCTCTCAAGCAGCCCAAGACAAACAATGCTTATATTTGTTTAGAAACTTATTCACAAAATATGGTCTTTGCCAAAATTTGGTGAGTAAATATTACTTTTGATTGATGAAGTTTGTAAATCATAGTGTTATATTTATTTTTAGATTTCAATTTATCAGCCCATTTACAAAATTGTCATGTAATCTGAGGGTGAATCAATAACTACATAGTAGTCTAAAATATAATTATTAGCTGAATCTTAATCTGAAATTTTCACTGTATAATGTTTGATTTATTCATTGCTGATTAAAGTCTTAATAAGGAAAGAGATTTTGTTCAAAAATATTTGTTTTCTAGAATAAATTATTTTCATCATTATGCTATAGACTTATTGGTGTATCTATGTATATAATAAAAGAGATATGACCTTTCAGTATGTAGGCAATCAAGACTCTTTACAAATTCCTTTCGTTACCTGTGAATAGAGCCAGGCTTTCTTGGGAAAGATAGTGGAATAAGTTCTTGGCTTCTCTACAGTGTGGCATTCTCAGTTTTCCTTCTCTCGGAATAGCTTCTACTCAAATCTAGAGATTCCAGTTTACTCTGTTATTTAACCCATAGCTGGGGGAGAAGAGACTGAGTCATGCCTTTTCCAAGAGCATTTATTAAGTGAATGCAACAGACTAGCCTAGAATTTGAACTTTGCTTTACTTTTCACATTATCTCTTATCCACTCACACATCCCTACTACATACATACATATATATATATATATATATATATATATATATATATAACTATATCATAATTATTTAGACAAAATAACTAATTAAAAATTAATTTTAATTTGAAATATAAGTTATTGATAAAATTAATGAACCTAATAAAAGTTTTAAATATAATATCACCACAATTTTAATTTTTTTTATTTCTTTGTATAAAGTACAGGGTGTCCAAAAAAATTGACATCATTTAAAGTGAATATCTGAGTAACTACATGTCCCAGGCAGACAAAATTAAATGGGCTTCATGTTGAGTAAGAAAAGATTTATTTATCAAAATTTGATAAAGATATTCAGAGATGGAGATTTTATAACTGATTTCACAAAGCTTCACAAATGTTCAGTACATGCACCAGCTGTAACATGACACACATCAAATCGGTAGTCCAACACCTGCCAAACAAGCTGTAGCATGTCTTGTGTAACATTCTCCAGTGCCTCAGTGGTTCTCTGCTGAAGTTTCCCTAGGCTTATAAGAAGAAGAAGGGGACCTGTCTTTTCCTATAGCCCCATAGAAAAAAAAATCACAAGGTGTCAAGTCAGTCAACATGGTGGCCATTTCAACAGCACATTGTAATTATACTGGCATACCCAATCCATCTTCTTGGTAGATTCTCATTGAGATAAGTCTGCACAGTTAACTTAGTTTTTACACATTTTGTTAAAATATGAGATCATTTGAGTGAGAATTATGTTGTTAGGCTACAAAATGATGTCATTTTTATGAGGACACCCTGTATTATTATAGTTGACCAGAATTTGCATTTTTCAAATTTTAGAAATTTAAATAAAACTTCTTGGTAGATTTTTAATTTATGAGGCTTTTTACTACATAGTGCAATGAATGACATAATAATTCTTTCAGGCATTAAATGAATATAGCCTACTGTTGATTACACAGCTGGGAGTATATACAAGCTACTCCTAAACATAAAATCATAGGAATTAAGTATCTCTCAACTTTGATACTTACCATTCAAATGCCATGAAAATAGTTTGTCAAAAAAGAAAGGACTTAAGTAAACAAAATGAAATATGTTAAATATTAAGCATAATTTAAAGTTTGTTTTATACCAACTTAGCAGACAGTTTTTCATTGGCAGTGTGTGTATTGATAACTTCCAGCTTTATGACAAGCAGTAACTATCTACAGTAGTATTGTCTTCATTCAGTTCCTGAAAGTACTTTCATGTAGTTCATTTAAATATTTTAGTGAACCAAAGTTCTCTTTCTAAAAATAAAAGCATAACTAAAAATAAACTCTCAAGATAAAAAAACAATTTTGAATCATTTTACTATTGGAACAAAAATATCAGTAAACATTTAAAATTGTGATATAAATTTAATTACTTGAATATAAATTGTTGAAAAATATAACACTGAAGCTTGAGCAATTTCATTAGCACTGCCTCTACAAAATCCTTAACATCCAGTCCTTATGAAATCCCAGTAAAATGCCATTTCATTATGACTAACTTTTACAAGTTTTAAAACATTTAAAATTAGTTGAATTTGTTTTGCAAAAGAAATGAATAAAGGTTCTTTTTTAAATCAGAAAATTTGAACCACAAAATATTGCTTTGTTGGACATCTTTTTACTTTAAATTGTAGACTTGTGACATGTAAAAAGATTTTTTTGTTTTTCATTTCTGCACTTGATCATACAAATTCATATTTTTGGATTTAAATAACAGTTTAATTATTTACTTTTAGATTGACCGTATTTATGCTTCTTCTGTTTATATTTCTCACTTGGCGGGAAAAGTTTTTGTCTCTCTGATTTCTCTGAATCCATTTCAGGTAAATTTTTTTACTACTTCCTTGTTACAAATTTCATTTGTGTTAATGTAAATATGGTCTCTGATGATAAATAGATTTATTAATGAAATTATGAATACATTTATGGATTTTCAAATGTAGGCAAAAATTTTGAAAAGATAATTTAATATTTTATGTTGAACTTAAAATGAATATTAAAAATCAGTAAACCTTCAATTCTTTGAAGTGATTGGAATATGTTAATTAAAACCTCAAATTTAACTTCAAATGTCTAGGATATATCTTTTAAAATATTTGTACAATTCTTAATAAATAAAAAAAGGATTTTTTTACTTCAAAAGACAAGTTCAATCAGTTTGATTTTACCCACTTTAGAATACATAAAATATATAAAAGTCTATATAATCATTCTTGTATGATTTTTCATATAAATTCAAAATTATAGATATTTATACATGGCTAAATTAATTTTAAAGCTGTTTTAAAAATGATTTTTATTTTTCAGTTAATTTGCTCTACAATTGTTTTTATTTTACTCTAAAATCTTTGCTTTTTAAACTTTATTATTTGTTTTTTTTTTTTTTTAAATTTGGACTTATGTTTTTTTACTTTACTTCAATGTTTTTAATGAAAAGTTTCAATTTGTTTATAAAATATTCAGGATATATTTATATCAGTAAATATGGTCCTTTAAAAGATGAAAAATAGATAGCATTATGAAAAAATGAAACTTATGAAAACAAAATACTAAATGTTTGTTATTATAAAGGAAAGGTCAAAGTATTTTTTCAAATTTTTTAATCGTTCCTATGCGTTGAAATTTTAGTTAAAAAAAAGTTTTTTTTGAAAAGATAATTTTTTCCATTTTTTATGAAATTTGAAAATTTTTAAAATGAATGTATCATTTTTCAAAACTTATTTTCAGTAAATTATAATGTTTATTTAAAATATTTTGAACCAAACTTAACTTAGCTTTTGTGCCAAAAGATTAATTTGAAAAAAAAAAGCAGGTCATAAATTCTCTTGACATGTGATGAATGATATATAAAATTCTGAGGATAATTTGTTTTTAATGAAAATTTACATTTTTGAACAAATTTTTTATTTGAAAACTTTCAGCAAAATTTTTTTTTTTTTTGTATTTTAGCTTTCACCTTTACGTTTATGATGCTTTATGGGAAATATATTGTAAAAGAAATTAAAATAAAACTGTTCAATCAGTTTGAAAGGTATCTAATTTTTAGGTACCTTTCTTATGAAATATTATCAGAATACATAAAATACTAAATTTTATGTACATTTATTATTCTACTGTTATTTGTATTTGCATTCATTTAATTATTAATTTTATATTTCATTTATGGAAAAATCAAAAAACTGAGATTAATATAAAAATAAGATCATATTTTCATAAGATATAATACCCTTCTAGTTGAACCTTGAAAAAAAATTACACGTGTTTGCAAAAGTAAAGGCCTTAACAGCGGAGAACAATGCTTAATTAAATTAATTATATTCTGGTTGGTCTTTTTATTACATGGCAAAAATGATACAATTTAGCAGCTAAAAAATCTCATAAGGAATTTTAAAGCATGTTTTAAAAATAAATGTAAAATCTTTTATTTTGAAATAACAAATAATTTATTTAATTTTCATTTTTTAAAAAAATTTTTTTGCTTTCAGAAAATATTGTCCATATTCATAAAAACACTAAAAAAATAAAAGCATTTGAAATTAAATAATATATTTGTTTTATTGAGTTTTTATTACCAATTCAGAGTTTTTTTTTTAAAAACAAAAAAAAAATTTGGCCCTTATTATTTAATCACTAATTACTTCAAATTTTGTTTTCATAAACTTTATGGGGGGGTTATTTAAAAAAAATATTTCAATGTTTTAAAAAAAAACATATTTATAATAATTTCGATCATCTGTGAATAGTTTCTGAAAGTTTCATTAACATCCGATAATTATTTCTAACCAACGATTTTAAATAAAAATACCAAAAAACGTGCTAAAATTGTTTATGTTATTTACTAATGATACAAATAGAAAAAAGTTTTTTAAATCATGCATTTCTAAAAAAGAAGGAAAATTTTTTAAAAAAAAAAATTGAACTTTCCTCTTAATAATAAAATTTGTTTCGCACATTTATGGCGTCTTTTCATCAAGCTATGCTCTTTTTTTGCGATTTTGGGGTTAATGAGTTTTTATAATATTGAACTTTATTAAAAATATTGATAATTTGTTTTGGGGTTAATGAGTTTTTTATAAATTTTTATTTTATAAACAAATTCAAAAGGAATATATTTGACACAATATCCTATATACCTGAATAAATTATTATTTTTATTGTATCACATATTAATAGGTGCTGCTTCACTTTTTATTACATTCATTGTTTTTTAACCCATTGATTTTAACTTTACTGTTTTATCTTTATTACTTTTCAAATATCTTCTTTGCTTGAATATTGTTTTTCATTTTATATACATCTCTTTTAATTATGAATCACAATTGTTTTATTGGATTAATATCTGTAGAGGCTGAACGCCATTTTGCTATTTTGGTGTCTTTGGAATTTTTTTTGGCAAGGTGGGCAATAGTCATCTTTACAGAATATGAAGGAGCATTATCTTGCATGAATAAACTTTTTAGCTTAAAGCTACTTTATTGTAACTGGTACAAAAAACATCTTGTCCAAGAACTTAACAATAATTCTTTGCATTTACCTTGATACCAACATTAAAGGGACCTATAATTTTACTACCTACAATAATAGCTCCAAACATTACTCCATCTTTCCTCATGTTGTCTTCTCAGTCGTGTGGTTTAACTATTTCCATGAAGGACTTAATCTCTAACCATCAGGTCCATCAAATGTAGCTTTACACTGATTATTAAAAATTACTGTTGTTGTAGTGAAAGAGATAATCAGCTACCTTGAAAAAGAGTTTGTGTTTTCTGTGTGATTTGCCGAAGAAAAATTACCAAAAAGTAGTTAGCAAGAATCTACTTTAAGGACCAAAATCTATGCTAATGTTCTTCTCTCCCCTGAATGGTGTGACCAATTAGAAAGATCTCCCGGTGGACAAAAGCTATTGTTTTTCGCCTGTGTGGCAGATTTGAATTTTTTGAGGTTGGACAAACACACGTTTTTGCTGGTGAGAAGTGAAGGTTGGATGTGTGACCCCATTTTGTCGTTTTCTACATTGCCTGTTGGACTGTTACAATGGACTATCATTTGAACTGTGATTTGGCTACATGTGTTGTGGTCGAGAGGCAGAAGAAATCTATTGCAGACGTATGTTGCTACTATAAGTTGACTTTTTTTTTCTTTTCTTTACAACCACAAGCTATTTCGGCACTTACTTTGTCTCTAGCAAGATGGTGGAAAGACCGTTCAATATAAAACTGATCCCCGAATTCAGTGGTGATGCGAGTGGACACTCTGTGGTTGAATGGATCAAAAATGTGATACTGCTCTGCGAATTATGCAAGATCACGAAGATTGAATGGATTCTTCCACTGCGCTTGAAAGGCGGTGCCCTTGATGTGTATAGGCAGCTGAGCAAAGAACAGAAAAGTGACATTGAGCAAATAAAGCGTGCTCTACTAACCACGTTTGGAACTGACCGGTTTATTGCCTATGACCAATTCCAGGTGTGGCGTCTGTGGCCTGGCGAGACAGTTGACATATATTTGGCAAAATTAAAGAAGCTTGCCATACCAATTGCACTGAAGAATGGATGACCTGTGCCTTCGTGTCTGGATTACCTAGTCATGTTAAACAGATACTCCATGCATCATCCAGAATGGATGACATGACGCTCAACCAATTGTTGACCAGAGTCCACGCTATCATGATCGATGAAAAAGTTGCTGATGAACCAGTGACGCAGTCCTTCAACCAATTGAAGTCAAAGAGGATCCAACCCCAGCCAACCCTGGCCATGGCAATGTCACCTGCGATCAGTGCTCTGGGCCAAATCATTTTGCCAAAGACTGCTGCTATCAACACAGAAATGTGCAGCGGGTCAGCACGAAAGGTACGTCTCGATCTAAGATGTTTCCAATGTCATAAAGTTGTTCACATTGCCTCTAAGTGTCCGGAAAATGGAATGGGTGATGTGACATCAGTGCCAGTCTCTTCCCCACACCGAGCATAAAAGAGGCACTCCCTGTGATTAAGGTGCACATCATTGAAATAATGTGTACCACTTTAGTAGATTCGGGTTGCTCTTAGTCACTCATGAACGGTTCAATTTTTCAGCAGCGGAGCAGACAAAATATGGATGTACTAACAGCCAATGGAAAGGCCCTCAGAAGCCAGAGAGTCGGAACCATCAAACTCAGTGTCATCAACATTGACCCTGTCACAGTCAGTGTGTTGGTCGTGGACAGTGCATTATTAGGTTTTGACCTGCTCCTTGGGATGGACATTATTAAGGAGCTGGGTGGCATATGCATCACAGAGGCAGGCGAAATCAAGTTTTCTAGTTCGCCCATCTGTGCTGCTTTGAGGATCAACAGGCCCAACTTTAGTGCAGAGTTCGACCAAAGGACGAAGACATGGACAGCATTTTTGAAATGGTCGGAAAATAACTCACCAGAAAAGCTTTGGAACCGAGTGTCAGTGTATTGATTATAGAGAACTGAATGAACATGTAGACACATATACGGCTCATGTTGATGTATGTGCACAAAAATTGAGAGAATGAAGAAGAAAGCAGTCCAATGTCTCTGTGATTGACCTTTGAAAGGCCCACTTGCAGGTATGTGTGCACCGGTCACTGTGGCCATTTCAGATGGTGATCCTTAATGGAAGGAGATACTGCCTAATGTGAATGGGATTCGGGCTCAATGTGGTGCCATCCATCATGAAAGCTATTGTGGATGCTGTGCTATCCAAGGATAAAACAATTCGTCAAGCAACATCAGCTTACATTGACAACATCTACATCAACGAAACCTTAGTGCCCGCTGACTTTGCTGACTTTGGGCTCGAGTGTAAGAACCCAGAACGACTGGAGGACAGTGCTCATGTGCTTGGCTTGCAGGTCTGGGGGGAGCACAATGTGCTTTACTGGAAACGTGGAAGTGAGCTCCTAGACATTCCCAGACACATGACACGACACAGTGTGTTCTCATTATGTGGAAAGTTGGTGGGACATTTTCCTATGGGTAGTTGGATCCTCATTGCAACTGCCTTTATCAAACATAGGGTGACTGCTGTCACTTCCTGCTGGGATGACAAAACAAATAATGCTCTCCTTAGAAACATGATAGCAGAAGTCATTACCAGGGTGCGTCAAGACAACCCCGTACATGGTAAATGGTGTGTTGACAGATGTGAATTTGATGTCTTTGTTGACGCGAGCTCCCTTGCAACAGGAGTGTAGATGGAACTTTCGTGGAAGACGTGTGTTGGTTGCGTCCCGAGAAGGATACACAACATATCAACCTGTCAGAATTGGACACTGTTATCAAAGGAGTAACCACAGACCTTCAATGGAATGCAAAGGTTTTGCATTTGTTCAGTGGATAGTGGACACTCTTACGGGGAAGGCCAGGATACATACAAAGGCTGCAAGTGAAATGCTCATTCGAAGGCGTGTCAGTCCATTGACCCAGCACCTGTGCAATGGCCAAAAGGACAACTGAATGTGAGCAAAATGTGGCACCGTGTTGAAATGGACATCACACATCATAATGGAACTCACTATCTAACCCTGATTGACTGTGGCCCAAACCGATTCACTATTTCGCAACGTCTGCATCGACAGGATTCTGCAAGCGTGATTGACCAATTGCGGGCATTGTTCTTTGAACATGGACCTCCGACAGAACTCCTTACTGACAATGACACTGCATTTCACAGTGGACTATTTAAAGATTTTTTTTGGATTTGTGGAAACTCCACCTCAGATTTCGCAGGAAATGGCATAATCGAGCGATGCCATCAGAGTGTCAAGTGAATCTCTGCTAGGAAGTAGTGTTCCATAATGGAAGTGGTGTATTGACACAACATTACCCCTAAAGACAATGTATCACCCTCAACTGCGCCCACCAACATGATTTACCAGTACAAAGTCAGGCTAAGAGGCATTGATGTGACGCGTTCAACTGAACAGATAAAAGAACGAGTGCCATATGACCTGGGTGATCGCATGTGGGTAAAAGCCCCACATAGCTGGTGTACAACATGGTACCGGGTGGGGCATGTCACTGGAATCAGTAACTCGTGCAATGTGCTGGTTGATGGAATGCTAAGACAAGTAAAAGACTTGCATCCCTATGTAGGTTCAGATACTTCAACAAGTGACTAGGAGTGAGTGCTCAGGAAGTGAACGAATAATAACCATCAGAAGTAGGACTAGCACCTCCTCAGATGGCAAAGACTATGCATGAGGTTGTCAGATCAGAAGATTCCTCAGAAGACTCGTCTTCTGAACATACCACACAATCCTCTCCAACATTTGCCCCGCTCCAGAGAAGCTCAAGAATAAAGAGGCCTGCCCCTGAGTGTCATTTATGTGACAGTGGGGAGTGTAGTGAAAGAGATAATCAGCTACCTTGAAAAAGAGTTCATGTTTTGTGTGCAATTTGCCAAAGAAAAATTACCAAAAAGTAGTTAGCAAGAATCTACTTTAAGGACCAGAATCTATGCTAATGTTCTTCTCTCCTCTATGCAGCATTAGATTTTCTGAGTTTGGTGGACGAACACACGTTTTTGCTGGTGAGAAGTGAAGGTTGGATTTGTGACTCTATTTTGTCGTTTTCTACGTTGCCTGTTGGACTGTTACGACGGACTATTGTTTGAACTGTGATTTGGCTACAAGTATTGCAGAGAAGAGACAGAAGAAATCTATTGCAGGTGTTTATTGCTACTATAAGTTGACAGTCTTTTATTTTATTTTCTTTACAACCACAAATGTGAAGTCTGTTTTCTCCCAAATTTCTTTTTATAGTGTTTACTTAAAAAGTAGCAGTTTGGTTGTTTTCATATCTAATAGCTAATATTCTTAATATTCTGTAGCTTTTCTGTTTACATTTACAACACCAACATCTTCCTATATCTGATGAGGACAATAGTCCAAATAATGTAAATAGTGTACATAATACCTCATCCCAGAAATATAGACAGATGTGCCCATCACTTAATAACTGTACAATTTCTTGTTTTCTCTCTTAAGGTTATATCTTTCTTATGGCCCATGTCAATCTTGATATATCTGAAATTAAAAACTGTACTATTCTATATATTTCTTTACAATATGATGAACAATATTTAAGTTGCATAATCTCACAAATTATTGTAAATGTTTCTAATAAAACAAATGTCATAATCTGTAATTTACATGGTATATTTAAACTTCTGATATAATGTATGTTTTTTATTTTTTTATAGTATTTCACTGAGAATGGCTTCAAAGAAATGGTGCTTTTATTTATTCATCATCCTCAATCACATATGGACCCTTGCAGAGGATTTTTGATTTTGAAGAATATTTTAAGAACCAAGCTTCCCAAAGATGTGAATGCAGCATATGTGTCTTCTCTGAATGCTTCATGGACAACAATAATTTTAGCTTACAAAGAACATATCACTGAATTAAAATGCAACTTAGCTTTTCTCACACTTTGGTGGAAATTATTTAAAAACATCAATAAGTATCACAACAATGTGGAATTTGCATTTTATAAATCCCAAATGACCAATTATTTTTTTCTACATTTGGATTATTTATGTCAAAAATTTCAGTCTATTGCAACTGATAATGAACATTTGTATAAAATCAGTTTAAAGCTTTTTTGTGTTGTCTTAAACTATGAGACTGATCTGTCAATAGAAAAAAACATTCCTGTTGTGTATCATAACATATGTGTACAGTTGCTTCAAAATGAGACATTTAGTGAAACAGCATTTAGTGCTTCTGTATTAAGAAACAATCATCCTATACGAATTGGAAGCTCTAATATTCAAAGTCATCCCAAGCCAAATACAGAAAAAAATTGGACAGAATTTCAACATGATTGCATTTGCCCTACTTTGAATATGTCTTTGTTGCGCAAACTTATTCTTCTTGAATTTAATGTCTGTGCAATAGCCATCCGGTCAGAATATTTTAAAAACACCTCTGAATCTAAAGGTAAGTGTTTTTATTTCCTAAGAAGCTGACTGAAAATGTTCTGATGGATGTAATTTTTAAAATAAATTTATTTATTTATATATCTATTTAACTACCCACTAACCTATCAATTGTTACTATTAGGATTTTATTAGGATTATTTTAGGATGAAGTAAAGGGATTTTATTATTGTTACACCGGCCTCTAACACAAGGGAATTACACCGGTTCTCACTATATATATAGTGTCAGTAGTACCTACCCGAAGTAGCAGCGACAGTACTACACTGCCTAACTGAGTAGTACCCGTTTCCTACCTTTGTATCTGTGATGTTAAATACACTTGTTCCTTAACCCAACTTCGACTTGATTTTCTTATTTTACTATTGTGCCATGACACAACAGATTGGCGACGTCGGAATCGAAACGATATCACTGCAGACAATCACCTAAAGTGATTGAAATACAAGGATTCGCAAGACTTTTACGGCAAAACACCTTCGTCATTTCGAACAGATATGTGGATACACAAGGATTAATAGCAAATTAATTACTACAATAGCAATTTGACTTAAAAAGCTTAGCAGAAGACTGTGAACGGTTTGTTGCGTTGAAACAGGACAGTCGTGACATAGAGGAAAGCGGGGTGTCGCACATTAAAAAGGTCCATCAGAAGAAAAATTTAACTTCAAAAAATAACCAGAGGAAAAAAACAGGGAAAAGATCCACCGGGACCGTGTTGGAGATGTGGAGATAAACATTGGTACAATGAGTGTCCCTACAAATTCAAACAATGTGACAACTGCTACCAGAAGGGCATAAGGCATCACATTGTAGGAAAAAATCTAATAGAAAGAAGACATCCATTAAACTAACGAAAATTGAACCTGAGGAACGAAATATCTGGAAATTTGTACAGGTCAAAATGTTTGAAAAGAAAGTAAGACTACAGCTTGATAGTGGGTCTGATATTTCCATCATTAATATACAGACATGGAAGAAGCTTGGGAGACCCACTAAGATTAAATCACATAAAACAGCGAAGAAAGCGTCAGTGGTGAAAAAAAATCACCTTTGAAGGAGAATTATTGACGAATATTTCTTTTCAGAATAAGACCGAAAAAAAGCGAAAATTTTTTGTCATGCGAAAATCAAATAACCTCTTTGGAACAGATCTGTTCGAAAAATTTAGACTATGGGATCTGCCTTTAATCTCTTTTTTGTCAAAAAGTTGAGGATGCGAATGTGGAGGCAGAAAAAACTTACGGGAGTTAAAGAGAATATTCAGACGTATTTACAGGCGGTCTTGGAAGGTGTACAAAAGCGGTGGCAAAATTTGAAGTCAAAGAAAATGAACAGCCAATGTTCAAAAGAAAAGAAAGGTTCCATACGCCCGCTATAGAACAAATAGACGGTGAATTAGAAAGACTCGAAAACATGGGTGTCCTCGAAAAAATTGATCACAGTGAGTGGGCTGCGCCAACAGTTTACATCAAAAAGAAGAGCAAGGAGATTAGGGTTTGTGCCAATTTCTCAACAGGTTTAAACAATGCATTAAAGGATTACCATTATCCCCTTCCGAGCCCTGAAGAAATATCCATGAAACTGAGTGGAGGGAAATATTTTTTCTAAAGTCGACCTCAGTGACGTGTATTTACAAATCCCAGTCGATCAGGAGTGTTCAAAGCTGCTATGCATCAATACCCATAAGGGATTATACAAGTTTAACAGACTTCCTTTTGGGGTCAAAAGTCGCCCCTGCGATTTTTCAACAAACAATGGACATGATGTTAAGTGGGCTGGACGAGTTGGGTACCTGGACGATGTGTTAATGAACAGCGCTAGCAAAAGAACAACACAAAGCTCATGTAAACCAAGTATTCAAAAGAATCCAGGATTATGGATTTAAACTGAAACAGGAAAAATGTACCTTTTTCATGGAAAAAATAAAATACTTGGGGCAAATTATCGATGAACATGGAAGAAGGCTGGATCCAGATAGATCGAAGTGCAATAAGGGACATGCCTGCTCCAGAAAATATTGCGTCTCTACAAAGTTTCTTAGGGTTGGCGAATTATTACAATGTATTCATGCCAAATATGCATAAACTAAGATCACCCTTAAATGAATTGTTAAGGAAGGACCAAAAATGGGTCTGGACGCAAGAGTGCGAAGAAGCATTTCAGGAAATTAAAGATATATTAACGTCTGACTTGTTTCTGGCACATTATAATCCCAAGCGTGATATTATAGTTGCAAGCGATGCCAGTGCCTATGGCATAAAAGCATGCATACTACACAAAATGGATGATGGAAAAGTAAGACCCATAGCCCATGCACCCCGTTCACTTTTACCAGCCGAAAAGAACTACTCACAAATCAAGAAAGAGGCGCTAAGCATTATATTCGCAGTAAAGAAATTTCATCGTTTCTTGCACGATAGACAATTTCTGTTACAAACAGATCACAAACCTTTACTAACGATTTTTGGATCGAAAAAGGGACTACCACAACATACGGCGAATAGACTCCAAAGATGGGGTACCATTCTTCTGAATTATAATTTTCAAATGGAGTATGTACCATCTAAAAAACTTGGTCATGCAGATGGCTTATCAAGGTTAATACCTAAGCACACAGAACCATTGGAGGATATGGTAATAGCAGCCATTCAAGCGGAAGTTGAAGTAAAAAATACTTTATGTGACACGATAAGAGAACTTCCAGTAACGCTTGATGAGATTAAGAGTAAGGCAGAAGTGGACGAATTTATTATAAGCACGAAAGAAAAAATCAACAGTAACCAACTGGATGAGGAAATTTATTCAATTTGTGATAACGTCCTGTTATATAGCGATAGGGTCGTAATTCCTACGACATTACAGAAAAGAATGCTCAAGGAATTCCATGTAGGACATCCAGGCATATCAAGAATGAAAAGCCTTATCGCTCTTTCGTTTCTGGCCAAACATGGATAACGATATAGAAGAAAAAGTCAGGGAGTGTAGAGGATGCGCATTAGCTATGAAAGCTCCTCCGACTCAATTCGGATCGTGGGCAAAACCGGACCGACCTTGGTCGAGAATTCACTTGGATTTTGCTGGACCGTTAGATGGTTTCTACTATCTCATTGTTATAGACAGTCTATCTAAGTGGCCGGAAGTACTGAAGTGCAAGAACCCCACATCCGAGGCAGCTATTAACTTCCTGTATGAACTATTCGCTAGGTTTGGAGTTGTAGACTGCATTATCACAGACAATGGAACGCAATTCACGTCTACCAAATTTAAACATCTCTGTGAGGATTATCTAAACGAGCATATAACCATTCCGCCATACCACCCAAGAAGCAATGGGCAAGCGGAGAGATTCATGGATACGTTCAAGAGAGCCCTGAGAAAGGCTAGTGGATCACCAACGGATAAGTCAATCCAACAGTTCTTACAAGTTTACAGGGTCACTCCGAATGCAAACATCGAAATGTTGAAGACACCTGCTGAGGTCATGTTCGGACGCAAGGTTAGATCAATTTTCCACAAGTTGTTACCAAACCAGGATAGGCCAAACCTCAAAAACCGATAACAAAAAACGGTATAAAGTTGGCGAAAGAGTTTTCTACAAGATTCATAGAAATAATAGGACCTTTTGGGAGTCCGGCACTATTGAGAAACAAATAGGCAACACGGTCTATATGATTAAGGGACCAGATTTCGTGCACAAACGTCACAATAACCAAATCCGGAAAAGATACTCGAACAGTGAGGTGACCAGATCGCCCGAGGAGGACATCATGGACACAGTGTTTGATACTTTTTAGGTTCCCATACCAGAGACAGCTCCTGAGAATAGGAGTTGATTAGGGTGAACCCAAAACAAAAACGTTATTAATTCCCAGACGGGATATTTTCAAAGGGGGGTGGGTGTTACACCGGCCTCTAACACAAGGGAATTACACCGGTTCTCACTATATATACAGTGTCAGTACTACCTACCCGAAGTAGCAGCGACAGTACTACACTGCCTAACTGAGTAGTACCCGTTTCCTACCTTTGTATCTGTGATGTTAAATACACTTGTTCCTTAACCCAACTTCGACTTGATTTTCTTATTTTACTATTGTGCCACGACACAACAATTATTAATGTTAAATTTGTAAGGTAAAGTTTCAAATAGATTTTTCCTTAAAGGTTTCATCAATGTTTTTTCTTTCATTTGGGTTTTTCATTAATATGAATTGAAATATGTGATAGGTTAGGCAAAATTGTTAAATATTTTGTTTTCTAAGTGAACCCTGTCGAAATTAAATGAAATTGGTTTGAGAAGTGACCAAGTAGCTACACCATTAGTCTGTGTATAAATGCTACCATGAGAAGGTACTTTTTGCAGAATATAAAAAGTTTACATAGTTTATTGCAGAAGTTGAGAACAACCTTTATATGTTGGAAGGCTGCATTAAATTAGTTGTAATCTGATAAGGTTGCATTCAAGAAACTTCAATTAGATATTCTTCAAAATCTACATTATTTTATAAAAATCTACTATGAACTAGCATCAAAAAATTAAAAAATATGTTAATTCTAAAGTTAACAAACATTTTAATGACGGTTGTGAATTCTTTTTGCAGAAATGAATTGAATATTTGTTTGCAACATGGGGGTTTGGAGTTTCAGCTGATCCTCTAGATGAGTATACATAATTTATCATGTTAAAGGCATCTTAATTTTGGTTAGGTAGGAGAATGTAGATTCACAGAAATAAGTGGTTAAAAAGCAGGAAAACATTTTTCATGCATGTTGCTGAAAGCATGGGTATTCTATTGCATTTTTCCATATTTCAATCAGATCTTTATTAGCATCAAATAAGGATTTTAAAATGTCATCTTCTGAGAGCTGAATCAATTCCATGTCAGTGAACTTTTCAATGTATTCTACAATTAATAAGTCTATAACAGCTGCATATTCTTCAAATGATTTGCATGAATCCTCCTCTTCATCAATGACCTTTGCTAACTAGAGAAAATGTTCATCTGAAATTTCCTTTTGAATAAGAGGGTTTTGAAAAAAGGTAGCTTTTTTTTAAGTGCTTGGATTTTTTGTTACCTATCATATATAGAGTTAGTTTTACCTTGCAAAGAAATATTCAAGTCATTTTGCTTTGACATGATACCACACAGAAGTGCACCATTTCTATAGAAATCTTCTTTCAATAATTCACATTGCTTATTCTGTTCATCATAAAATTTAATTATCTGTTCTCACAAAACATCACTGAAATAGGCAACACTTTTTAGAATATGTCAAATTGACACTGAATACTTCATCATCCAATATTAGCAATATTCTGAAAACTGGCAATACTGTGTTGCATTTGCATGAATATAGTTAATATTTATGACTTCTAACAAAGTGTCACTTAAAATAGTAGATTTAACATAGAGATTTTGATGATGTAAGATACAATAAAAAGAAATCAGAGCAAATGATAATACTTTTTTTTATCTGTGCAATATAAACCCATCTTGTTTTCCTGTCATGGAAGATGAACCACCTGTATATACACTCACTAAATTAACAAAATCCTATCCAACTTCTCAAGATTTATCTTGAAAATTTGAAAGATATCTATTCCTTGTGTTATACCTATAAGAGTGCCAAAAGCCAGTTACTCTTCATAGCCAATAAAATCTTCTGTTATAGTCTGAATGAAATATAAAAACTGTGCTAAGTCAACAGTATTAGTTGATTCATCCAAAGCGATTAAATAATATATATTTTCTTTTTAGAATATTGTGTGAAGTTGTTCTGTTATGTTGACAGCTAATTCATGCTGCCAATCAGTTATGGTTCTCCTTGAAAGAGGCAGTTGTTTGTAATTTGAAACATTATTGGAGTCTAAGCATCATACAACTTCGACAATGTATCCAATGCTGATGAGCATTGAATTACTTCAATGTTGATATTGCAGTATCACAAGGCAAGCAAATCATCTTATCTCTATGTTAAATCCCTGGAGTCCTGACTAAATTATTGAAAAATTTGAATTTGTGATGATTGTGCAATTAAATTGAGATATCTCAAAAACCATTAAAACTCTCAAATCTTACAAGTTGAAAGTAAATTGATTTCTCTTCCAAATGATACCAAATTATGCTGCCTTGCTATTACTGGTTCTTGTAGATTTCAGATACCTCTAGTGTGATTATGTGATAGGCTGTGTATTTAAATACAGTGTTACCCAATTGCAAGTACATTTAGGCAATTCTGGACTGTAAGCATGCAAATCTTTATAGGTACATCTGGACACCTCTGGCCATAAAGAGTTAAAAGTGGAAGTCTAACTAAAGGAACATATGTCTGTCATCTTGCTGCAAGTAAACAATTCCTAATGTTCCTGGAACCACAGACAAAGGCTAAAACTGAATTAATGTTATATAGAAATGTCAAAAAGTAAGCAGTATAGTCTGAGACAGATTGAAACGGGTTTATTAGAAGCATTAATAAAACTACTTCATTGAAATAGTGTCACTTTCTTTAAATGAATGGTTTTGAACCAAATGAAAAATTTCTGTTTGTATTCAAAACAGCAATTTTTTCTTTTAGTTCAAATCCATTCACATTTCATGTGAATCAATTTGAATATGTACCATGTTTAAAATTGGTAATACTCTGCTTTTTTTAACTATTTATAATGGTCCTCTTTTGGAAATGTTTTTTATATATTAAATATTATGAAATGACATTGATAACATTTAAATGCCATTGTTTACTCAATACTTTGATCAATCATTTATTATGTATAAATTAATAAGTTTTTAATTTTTATCTAGATACAAATGTCAATGTTCTGGAGAAAATACTACTGAAGCTTCAACGAATGTGTTTTTTTATACATTATAATCTTCAAGCAAAATCTCAGCTTATGAGAGAGCAAGTTATTGATTGGCTTCCTCAAGTTTTTGCTGACCAAGACAATTCCTGGGTTCAAGTCCTCCTTGCAGTTACTGATCTTTATGTGATCAGCAAAATGTGGTTAGTTTCTCTTTCTTTAAAAATTCAATCGTTCATTATAATTTTATAACATTAAATTAAAAAATTTTATATTTACAAAGTGAAAAGTGAAAGTATTAAAAAGAATTGTGTTTTCAAATAAGTTTCATTTTCTTTACAATATTTTAAATTTTAATGAAATGTTTTTAAATATTTAAATTTCTGTAAAAATATTTTTAATTGTGCAGTAGTATCCAAAAACTTGTTAAAGAATTTACTTATAGAATAAAAAATTTTCTTCATGGAATATTTTGACCACATGTGAATATCTTTTAATTATTGCAATATTTTATTGGTTAAATTTCTGAAATTTAAAAAATTTTAATCTGTTCACATTACATTTGTAATCAGACATGATATTTCTCTAAAAATATTAACTCCTGCTGAAATTTATAATAAAAAACCTCTTTCTTTTTATGCTGTCAAAATTAGATTAATTAACTAAAATATTCAATATAACTTTTTTCCTAAGAATGCAGAAACAAACAAAGCTTAAAAAGAAGTATTTGAAAGATTTTCCCATATAAAACCTTTCTGTATTTGCACAATTAAATTTTAGTAATGAACTCATAACAAAATCTATCTGAAGTTTGACATGCCAAAATTCATGGGTTAGTTGGCTAATATCATGTAAGATTCCTTCTAACCAGGCAAAGTGCAGCAACTCAGTATTCTACAAGGAGACAAACCTCTGCAGAGATGTCAAGTCAATCTGTCTTGATAACTGTCTACAGTTTCTTCATATTTGTTGGTGCAGAATTTTACATGTAAATAGACCTCTCTACCCTACCTCAAGTGGGCTCTTAGGACTACATCAGTTGTTGGAAGTCTCCAGAATTTTTCCTCAAACCAATTCTGGGCAAGTTTATCCAGATGACATAGAGCATTATACTACTGGATTAACTTATCATTGTTGGGTTACATGGGGTGCACAAAAAGGTGTAAATTCTCATGAAGCAGTGCATTGTAGGGGTTATCAGACAATGACGTCTAATTAGTGAACCAGTAAACCAAATGCATATCAAATTAACACACCCATTATGAGACCACCACCACTAACCTGCACAGTGCTATGTTGATAACTGGGGTTCACATTATAACTGAACCTTATCATCAGTTCGAATCAACTAAACCATGATGCATTAAATCATGCCATTTCTTGCCAATCTTAAAGGATCCTATTAACAATATCACAAATCCACGTGAAATGCTGTGTCCATTGTCGTAGTGTTAACAAAGGATTGTCATTAGTTCTTCTGTTCATGGATTCTAAAGAACGCTGAACTGACCAGCTGGATATGTCTGGTAACTTCTGCACTGAATGTGGATGTGATTTAAGCTTGTGTTGCTTGTCTGTTACCATAGACAATTCTGTTCAGGGTTGTGGATATTGACATCATGCTACAACCTCTGATAATTCCTGTTACCTTGCCATGAACAGTCTAGCCAACTGACTTACCAGGTATCAGAATGCAACTGATATAGGTTTGAACATTTCCATGAAGCCAAGGTATGGCGATGCTACCTACCATTAGCTTTCTGTACTACTATCCCATATGAAATGGGTTCAAACCCAAAATGTGTTCAAAATGAGCTATGACTAGAAAAGGGAAAAGTAAGAAAAAAAAACTATAATTTATTACTGATCTTTTAGCAAAAAACAGTTTATCATTTGTTCCAAAAATATTAATTTGAAACTGCATCAACTTATTTTTAATACAAATATTAAGATTGTTAAAAAGAAACCTTCAACCTTGAAACCATTAAGCATTTTTGTAATCTTCTATGAATTCATATTCATTCATAAGTTAAATTATCATTGGACAATCTTTTCAATTAAGAATCTTAAAAACTGTAAAAACTTGTTGCAGGTTTTCAAAGTATCATCTTAGTACAATTTGTTTTCAAGTTGCATTAGTAAAATAATTAGTAATCAAAAGATAAAAACTAATGATGCAGAAGATATAAATTTATAGGTGTAAATTGTTCTGTGCATTAAAAAGGTATAATTGTTTTTATTTACAGGAATGAAGAGAATAGAACAGCTAAAAAGATATCAACACTTATTAATCCCCATTTGATGTTTCAACAGTTTCTTGAATCTCTTAGCTATGATTATTCTGTATTGTTAGATTTGCTGACTTCACCTGAAACCTGTTTTCTTCTTTATTTTCTCAAATATCTCAAACTTTTATCTAAAGAATGGCATTTATTCAAAGCACTACATGAAGGGACTGATATAAAATTAAAAAATAAAACCACATCCACATTCTGTAATATGGATGAATGCAATTTGAATAGTACTAGGCTTTCAAATAATTTGCCTAATACTAGGCATCTAAATAGATCTACTAACAGAACTATGAAAATGACTCCAATACCAAATAAAAAGGTTGTTATTGTTGATTCTGAAAAAAATGAAGTGACCAATTGCAGAATACACAATTCACAAAATGTTTCTCTAAACCACTCCTCTGCTAATGAACATTATACTACAAAACAGAGTGAAAATATCTCTTTTGAAATTGGAACAAAACAACATTTTGCAACAAAAACTCATTCTGTTTCAAATTGGTCAATGGTTGATTGCCATTGTGAAAAATCCTGTTCATGTCTACCGTATGAAAACTCTATTCAAATGTTGCCTGCACAGTCTGACAATCTTAAACACTTGTTTACAGATTCTCAAGATGACAAAGATGTTTCATATTTATCTAAGATTGAAAAGGAACAAACAGATGATAAAGAGATGAAAGAAAAGAAAATATGTAAAAACACTCAAGTCAAAGGAATTGGTCTTGCTTGCATTCAGCTGTATTCAAATAATTCAAGTAGCAGTGAAAATGAAGAGGATGAAAACTTTGTCAACACAATCAAAGGACACCATATGACTCATAATTTATCATTTGTATCTAAGGATGTTTTAGATACAGAAGAACAATTTTTTGATTTTAAATACAGAAAAAGTGAAAAAATCCCTGCTCATAAAGAAACACTTTATACAAGCAACAAACCTCAACAGCAACTTAAAAACACTTTTATCAGTTCCACTTCCTTTATTCCTAAGGTAGCAAGCAGCACTTCCAAACTTGATCATGCAATGTCCTGTCTTAATAGATTATTACAGCTTTTAAAACGACTTAGTAAGTCATCTGTTTTTCCATATAACTCTCAGCCACTGATTAATGCTCTAGAGCCTTGTGTGGCACACTATGAGGCTTAAAGAATCATTTTGCTGAATAATCAATACAGTAATTTTATCATATAGCCAAATTTTTAGCATCAAACTACAAAAAACTTAAACAATTTAAAAAGCTTAAGACAAAAAAGTATTTGCATTTTTTTTCTACATACATGTGAAAGCATGTGATACTCTGCCCTCGTAGAGAACAGGGCAACAAACCTATCAAAGCCAACTGTGGTGCATCTCTTTTTCATCAAAAGTTTGTAAATTGTGACATAATTAAAACAAATTATTTTTCTTGTGATTATTTTATTCTTTACTTTATTTTTTATAAAATTATTGTTGTCATTATGATTATCAAAATTTCTTTGTAATTCAATTATTGTACATTCTATAACATTGATTATTTTACAATTTGAGAATAAATTAAAATATAATGTTAATTTAAAGTTATATTGTATAATAAATATTAGTAAATGTACAACTATATCACCTTAATGCAGCTTAATCCTATCAGTAAAAATATACTCTGATCATTTACTTATCATTACATTAAACTTTGAAAGAGTTTTGTCTTTTGGAGAAATTAGTGTGCAGTCATTATTATGATACAAAGCCAAATGGGCATTAATGAAAATAGGAAGATTGTACTGTGACCATCTTCAGAATGAACAGGATCTGCATACCCAGAAAATCAGCATTCAAAATCCTGAACATGAACACCAATTTCTAAAATCAGTAGTAAACATAAAACTATCTTAGCTACAAGGCAATTACTGTATTCTGAGAGATAGTTTGATTTGTAAGATTTTTATTGTATTAAAAAAAAGAACCATACAATTGCTTTATGGATTCTTAGTCTTTTTTTTCTTCATTACACAAACCTGCTCATCAGAAAGTCCTTTTTTTACCCAAGGTAAGTATGATACTAGCACATAAAGATGTTTTAGCACAAATTCTTCTAGGGAATAAAAAAGATAAAAATGTTGAATTATAAGTTCTAACAAATAAAGCATAAAGCCCAACCAAAGTTCTGCACTACATTGAAATGACCAGGAAAATGTTAATATGTATTCCATGGAATGTCATTACCTGAAGAAAAATTGCTTTTTACCAAATTTTCAATAATTTTACCCAAGCTTGAGAAGAACTGATTTATGGTGATATGGTAACACATTTACTAAAGAAAAAGAAAATAAATCTAGCAGTTTTTACAGCAGAGAGTCACCAGGTTTGCAAATTTCAGGTAGTCTGTCAATTAGTGTTGGTATAAAATCAGTAAATTTTAACCTTAAGTTATTTGTCAAAATTATTGAGTTTAATTAACATACAAGTACTTATAATGTATATCTCAATTACCAGGTCATGTTGACCAGAAACAGGATCCCAGATGACATTTTTTGCATGGATAATCTTTATTTTGGAAAACAAGTTTTGTAAAACGTTAATTTGATAATTTTGTTTAATAAATATTCTATAAATACTGATTTTCAATATGCTTGTGTATAAAATATATTTTTCCCCCAAATTTACAAAAATAATATTGCCCACAATCAACTGATCTTGTTTCTGCTTAACAAATTCATTCCAAACTAGTCATTTTTGATTTACACATTATAATAATTATTTTAAGAGTTCAAAATTTAATAATCTAGTTTTAATTCTTCAATAAAACAAAAAAACAAAATAATTAAAAGTTTGTCTAAGCATAATTTTTCTCCAATTTTTATTTATTATATTTTTATTTCATTTGATGCTGTTGAAAGGAATTGGCATTATTAAAACTACATTTAAAGACATTCTTCCATTACACTGTTTCTGTTATTTTTTGTTGAACAGAGTTGTTGATATTGGTAAATAAATGTTTATTGAGCTGTTCATACGGCCATATTTATTTATCTACTAGATCACCCATAAACCTGTTGAGTTCCTTTTAAAAGCAGTTCATGGTACAAAATTACTACTATTATGCATGTTTTAATTTGTATTTACAATATAAATTATTGTAATAATTATTATTACTCACATTATACAATATTACTGAGATCAAAAATGCAATAATACTTGTTTCTTTACATTTATTTCAAAATATATAATGGAGTCAAACCATGGAATAATGGAGTGCAGCTATTTATTTATCATCAAGTCGTGACAATTTTCCAGCCATACACATTGTTTTACAATGACACACCCACATAGCATCTTCAAATACTTAAGTAGTATTGTCAAATGTCTGATATATTTGTTTATAAAAAAAATTTAATGTAGTGTAGTGAATTGTATAAATATATGTATTTAAATATATTTAAATTTAGTTAATAATGTTTTATAATGCTTTATGCATGTTTATTATTTTTCACACACATAATAGTTGGAATATAATATGCAAATGTTTGTTGTATATGTGGATTGATATAAGAATATGTATTGAAAACAAATACTAAATACTTAATTTATTAAAAATGCAATAAAAACAAAGATTTCCCTAGCTCAAGAATCCCTTGTCTAATTTTAATGAAATTTGGCACTGCACTTGGCAGGGGTTCAAGGTACAATATGCTCTTAAATTAGCTGGGGTATTATGTATCATTTAAACTGTATCTCACAAACACATGCACACATACATATATACATACATACAGAGTGAGATGGGTAAATTGTCGCCATTTTTTAAGATATTTTTGCCTGATTTTGGTAAATATATCTGTTAAAATGAGATGTCAGTGTTATTTTCATTTTTGTATAATTTAGACGACAATTTATCCATCGCACCCTGTACATACATAAAACATTTTAGTTTTAGTATTATATAGATAAATACTGTTTTCAGGATGCTGAATATTCACTAATAAGATAGTAGCTATACTCCTGTGTATCCAGAAAACCTTCAATGGTCTATCATATATTATTGCTTCCATATATTACATTCTATGCATAATAAACTAAAATATATTAATTTGATAGTTTGAGTACCACAGAATGAACCCCTCCATCTATTACATGGAGCAAGAAGCTTTTCTTTTTCATGTGTGTAAAGGAAATTCTGTGCCGAATTATTATTTTTACATGATCAATAAAATATTCTATACTCATCATTCATAGAAACATTTATTAGGTTATTTATTGATGAATTTATTAAAACTTAAATTTTTTATACTACTTTAATCAAGATCTCTTCACAAATGTCAGTCAGATGTGAACACTTAAGAAATCAAAACCCAAGATAAAAAAAGCCATCTGCACAGGGTCTCCAAGCACCACATCCAGTCCATAAAGCAAAAATCTAAAATACAATAACCAATTATGAATGTTGCTACAAAAAAAAGGATGAGCCTAGGAACTAGCACCTGTTAAACCACAGATATAAAAACATGCTGTACAAACAACAGCCAGTTTGTCTCAACTGCTCAACCTCATCACCAGGCCACTGACCCATGCACACCTCACCAGTATCAATTTCAACCCTGAAGATAGATAGATCAACCCCACCAATGACACCCCACACAGCTTCACTAATTCACTACAGGCTTCTCTCCTGACAACAACCATGACGTCAGGCAACCAACCAGCACCTAGTCTTACCAACATGCTCACACCTAATCACTTACCTTAGAGCAGCTAAAGAACAACATATCAAAAATTTGGTCACTTTTCACATAACTGTGGATATATTCTAAAAATATTCTTGTTTGTTCTTTCCTTTGCAACCATAGGCTCATTATAACATTTTTATGAATCTATTTTGTAAACAAATAATATATTACAAAATAAAAAAATAAGCAAACTTTTTAGTGAAAATGCTAAAAATGTATTTTAATTGTAAAATGACAAATTATAATGGGTAAGGTAAATTAAAAGCAATCATATGAAGAGTGCTGAAAAGTTCTGTTTGACTCACTCCCCAAAATAACAAACTTTAGATTGTTTTTTCTCAAATGACTTCTTAATCAGATAAGAATCTTTCAGCCACCCACCTTCATAAATATAAACATATTTCTAACGTGAAAAGTAAGCCTACTAATTTGTCATTTAATATTTGTTTAATTGAAGACAATGACTTATACCACTGAGAATGAACATCCATTGTATTTGTGTATTTTATCTAAATGATGCTCATACCTGAGAAGCCAGTTTCATGGAGTTATATTTTAGGAAATGATAAGGCTTTCAAAGCAATTTCAGCAAGCTCAAGATATTCTGCTTTTACTTGAAATCCAAAAAGAAACAATAAAAAAAATCAATGAAATTCTATCTTCTGTTGTCAGCCACATACTGATTGCTTATGATTTTTATATCAGCACTAGTAAACATACCAAATTGCTTTACTTTGTGCAGAAAATGAAATGTATGAGGATAAGTTTGAATTAATGCATTTTTCGTGGTTCTGCGAAGACAACTCCAGTTTATTTTCATCCACAAAAAAAAGTGAAAATTCATAAGAAACCCCTATATAGAAATTAGTCAAAAAGCTGCAGATATGAACAGAACAACTCATCATATTGCAAAAAAATAAAAATAATAAAAAATTAAGTTTTTAATTTTACTTATTTTTGTTTTTCTATGCATACAGATGAAGATATTAATTTTTTATTAGTTTTCTTCATCTTGTTGCATTTTAATGTATGAAAGAAATATTTGAAAATTAATAATAAAAATAATATCAAAAGTAAAACCTTTTAAGATGTAGTTTGATTTGTCAAATCATTTCAAACTATGCTCTGCAAACTGCTTAAAATATGGATTTTATTTTTGTTATTATCCATGTTGCTGATTGCAATGTAAAAGAATAGAATTGTTTTAACATTGCATAAAGAATTTTATTGTTTTTACTCATTGTGCTTGTATCAGAAAAGTCATTATTTATGCTGCTGGTCAATATTGTTTGTCTAAATTATTTTTTGTTCTAGAAATTATGAATCTGCTTTAATGATTGCTATAGAATAAGTCACTTTTTTATTTCAAGGGACAATTATTTCATTAAATTCCTCCAATTTGAAAGAAAAAAGCTTTTTAAAGTGATTTCATTCCTTAATATATATTTGGGAAAATGACATGATTATTTCTTTTCATATATGGAGCACAAAATTTGTTAGGAGGAAATATATTTGAATATAAAACACTTTATGATTTTTTCTTTTGAATAATTAAAATGAAGATATCTGTAATGTAGCCAAATTGAAATTGTAATTTAATGAGAAAAAGAAGCTATTAATAACAAAATGGGCACTTTGACATACACTGTCACTGATGGTCATTTAATAGCAAACATTGTTGAAATGTACCTTTTCTATAAATATTTTCATAGAAATTGCTCTGACAAGCTTTCCTCTTTGGTACCTAAACTTTATGAATGTAAGCGCAGTACCATTGGCAGGAAGATCTCCCCGTTTTACTGTCTAAATTGCTAAATGTAACTAAATTCTATGCTATCAGTTTCTTCTCTTGTACATTTTGCTTCCATTCATCTTTGATCTTCAAAAATGTAAATGCTTAGTCAATTGTTATTTTCTACCTTCTTTTATTGTTGTTTTTCTTTTTCTCATATTCTCTCACTCGGTAACCCCTTGCATCTTAGTGTTTTTATTGTCTTCCTTGGGGTGAAATGATTTAAAGAAAAAGAAAGAAAAATTGTTGTTTTCAAAACAATGTTCTTCAGTAGTCAATGACTATATCCTCCTTTAATTATGTTTTTCTGTAAAGTGCATTTTTATAATATTTTTAATATTTTGAGATACTTTTTTCACCACAAAACATGAGTTATACAAACTTAAGCCAAATACTATATCATTAAGGATGTGAATGCAAAAACTGAGAAAATGTTGATAGTCAAAACTTTTGGTTATCAGTATTTTCTCAATTTTTGCATTCACATTCTTCTTAAAACAATACAGTTTTTAAATGAATCATTTTTTTTTTAGTCGGCCAATATTAGTTTTGACTCAAAACAGGCCTCAGGTTCACTTCACACAGTAGGCACGAGTTTTTGTCATTTTGGTTTAAAAGAACAAAAAAGGTTATATGTGGTAAGTTAAAAAAAAGAACAACTCTTACTGATTGTAGAAAGCATTTCAATGGGCCACAGTTAACCACAAACTCTAACATTCTATGGCTGCTAACTGCTTTGCCAGTTTACCAAATCAAATATTGTTTCTGGACAAATTGTTAACAAGTTAAACGGCTAAAAATCGATTGGGTTGTTTTATTTACTTGTTGCTTCTACATCCTAACCGATCTTGTCGACATTTTCTAGAAAATCGATTTTATAAAAGCCGTTTTTTTATTTTCAGCCTGGTCAAGTATTATTATGTTCATATCACTTTCTTTTGGATAGATGAAAAAAACCTAAAATTTTTTTAATGGTAATGAAATGCGTGCGGTACTAGATGTACGTTGTGTTTTAAACATCGGCGAAAGGAAAAGGTAATTTTCATCAATATTAATTTTAAATATTTAAAATAATTGAAAAGTATGCTATCATTGTGTTTGAGAAAAATTTTATTTTTAATCTTGCATAGAGATGCTTGAAGTAATCTTTTTTAAATTTAAGTTTTCCTTTGAGATAAATGTCCGGCTACTAATGAATTTGAAAGCAAAAGCATTTTTCCAAAAGTGTTGCTGGAGTGCTGGACATTACGCTCCGTTTTTTTTTTTTTTTCTCAGTTTCATCCCTCATTTTATTAAATATCATTATTTACTAAGCTTAGCCGAGTTTGAGTCACAGACAAACGTAGAGAACCCATCGAAGATCGAACTCCCTACGGCGAGAGATGTCTCTTGCTAATAGCGTTGTAGAAGGAAAATGTCAGGAATATGCATCATAAGTTATCTTTTTAGCGCTCATGGTTTAAAATTCTTTATTTTTTCCTTGTGACTAGTAAGTTGTTATTAACGACGAATATTATTAACAAAGAATTAAAATTTTATCTTTTCATAGTAAGCAGTTTTTATGCTTAGGAATAAAATGTGAAACTAGCGTCATGAAAGCCAATCGTTTCTTGAACGTGCGTAGTGATTGCGTTGACATGACTGAATGTTAATTTATTAATGACGAAGAATTCTTTCAGACAGAAACTCGTTCTCAAAGTTGTGTTATGTGTCACAACTTCAAGTAAACGATTTTAATAAAGTTTAAAATGTTTTATAAGCTTTATTTCTAGATTTCAACACAAAACTGGCCTAACTTTTTAGTGTTTCTTTATTATTTGATACAACTACATTTTTTTTTCTTTTACCTGCTTTAGTTCAAATTTACAATTTCTTTTACCACCTTGAAAGAAAAAAACTAAATTAAAAGGAAATGAAATTTTGATTTCTATGATGGCGTAAAAAATTTCAAAAGCATAACATATTCACATTTTTGTGTAGAGAGAATTTAGGAAAATTTATGATTCTTCAGCGATTTAACAAATTACATTTCCAAACAATTCTTCCGGGATGTTTTAAATCTCTTAAAAAAAAAATCTAAGCAGTATGGTGGAAAACTTTTTTTTTATTTCATTTATTTTGTAATTACTACAAGAATCTTAATGTCAAAAAAAATATAAGCATGAAATGATGAAAAGTGAAAACTATACACAAATTTTGTAAACGATTAAAAAATTAAATTTCTGTAACATTGAAGATCAAATTCAAAGCTGAATGCGAAGGAAGAGAATTTGATTTTTAACAAAATTAAATTACTTCTTAATTAGTAATATTTTTTTTTATTTTGAGTTTATTCTAATAAATGTCAGAATAAATTGTTATAAATCAAAAATGCCTTACATTTTTTATTTACAATATTTCAGTAGCAGTTTGTAAAGTAAAAATGATCAAATTATTTGCACTCGCCTGTCATTAAATTTTTAATTTTATATGTAGCAAAATTTTTTCTTTTTTTAAATTTTTAGTCTCTGTAAAAACCAAAATGTTAGCAACAGGTTAGTTTTACTTTTAGGAAAAAGCTATTTTGTAACTCTGTAATTGATAAGAAATTCATCAAAGTTCTTTTTCCTGGGACAATGCAACAAAAAACACATCAGGTTTCTTTTAATTATGTTTAATTTCAGCAATGAATATTTTATTTGAAGAAAAACAAAATTTATTTTATTTTCAGGATATTGCCTCATGACTTGTGATTCAGAGAGAATGGACAGCACATCCACCATAGCTGCCATGCCTGTTGTAAAAAGTGTTAGTGAGCATCTATCAGAGCAAGTTTTTTATGAGAATACTTACAAAATGAAACCAGATAAAAAGATGCAGCTCAGAGGTGTACGAGATTTGGTGCAGAAGATCCTTGGAGAAAATATTGTTAATTTACATTATGATGCTAAGTAGTTGGCAACAAAACTTGCCTTAAAAATTAATCAAAGATTAGGTGCAGACAGCAAATCGCTTCAAACTTGTAACATTTGTTATCATTGGTCAAGTAAATGGCTCCACTGTTAATGTGGGCAGTCGATGTCTATGGGATACACGATTTGACCATTTTCTAGAAGAAACCTATCAGAATTCTTCTGTATACATTGTGGCTACTGTGTATATAATGTATCGAGAATAAGTAGAAGACAAAAATACTAAGCATGCACTAATCTACTTTTATTGACTTAAAATGTTCAATAAACAATTTTTGTAGGACATTCAAAACAGAATCTCTTCAGTTTGTTCCACCTATTTATAAAAGATTAAATTTTTATATTTCACAAGTTTCTGATGAAAAAGCTGGTTTTCAATTGGTAACAATTATCTGTTAGCTAAAAAATAAAATTTTATTAATTTTATTCATCCAAGTATTTTTATGGCCATATTGTTGCTAACATAATTTGTGTTGAAATTTTGGTAAAGGGTTTGATTAAAGTGAAAATAATTATAATTAAAGAGAAGGGAATTTAAACTATTTTTTATGTTGATAGTCAAAATACAATATTTCCTATATCCACATGATTTGTATGAATTAAAAAGAAACATGCACTTGAAAAACTATATTGTATAAATATTATTAGTGAAAATTGATAAAAAATTTAATAGAATTTTTTGTTTGATGTGAGGGTGATGTAATGGATAGTGGTTCATTACATTCACTTATGCACAAATACCCTTGGTAAAGGTATGAATTCATCTCTTTCCCTCAGCTATGGGTTAAATTGTAGGATAGACTCAGCTCTTTAGCCTTGGTTGGCAGTCATTCTAGGAGAACAACTTTAAATTCAAAACCTGACGAGGCCAAATGACAAGTTGCTCTTTGGTCAGGGTTACATGACAAAAGTCTTGCAAAGAAAAAAAAACAACATTTAATTAA